AAAAAAAAAATAACTATAGTAAATTGCATTGATTAAACACCCAAAATATTCATAAACAATTTACTTGTTATTAAAATTGCCTATTTTATTACAAGTATATATTATATTGTGTATTTTTGGAACATGGTAAAATAGAATGACATCAAAATATCTTTCTGCTTAATAATTTCAAAAAAAAAATAATAATAATGAACTTATATTAAYGAATCTATTTATGAAATCATTTTTCTCCGAAGATCGAAACTCTTGAAGTTTAAGCCATTGTATTTGAATAAAATCTTATGAGAACCTTACTGAGAACAAATCAAGCTAATCAAAACACATTGAATTATTTCTCAAATGACACTGAAATTCAAGTACGACTATACAAATTATTTTAACGTTAAACCAATAAAACATACCAAAAATGTATATCAATACTATAACGATACAGTGTTCTTTTCATCAAATATTCGGTAACTTCTTGACTTTTCAAACTGGTCTATGAAAGAAATGCTTGCTATATCCAAGAAAGTCTTATGACCCRATGAAGTAAAAATAAATACTATATCATCGAATCGGTTTGGGCTCACTTCAAAATTGCCTATAGAAGCATCTATAAAATGCCTCTAATCGCCTAAACGTCAACTTCAATAAATTGTTTGGGTCTGTGTATAAATTCAATTCGACACAATTCTGAATTGGAAGAATAATTCATACGGTTTAGGTTTTTTTTCTAGAATCTCTAATGAAACTAATAAAATGGATAAATTGATAAAAGAACATCAAAGTCACAATATTCTATCATTCAACCGTATTTGAGATAAAATTTGCATGAACAATTTTTAAAAGCAACCATGCATAAAGATTATCTCTAGTCTGTTATAATTTATCAACCAAATATATAAACACAATGAGTCACAAATTTCAGAAACGATTGGGATAGAAAAATAAATAAATAATCCTTATAAATCCATTCAAAATCTTTGAATTATTTTATTTACTTCAAAAACTTAATAACGATACAGTAACTTTYACAGTTTTATTAGAATCTGAAGGAAATGAARAATGTATTGATTTTACAATGATGTAGGTATGTTTTTTTTCTTTCTATTTTTGTGTCTGTCATCACGTTTTGGAGTAGAAATAATGCTTTGATTTTTGACTTAAGCCCCTCTTTGAAAAGTAAAATGCATCTATTWGGTACTTTGGAGAGTTTAAAGTAAAAAATGTCCAGTAGTTTTCAAAAGCGTCAGGAAAAACCCTAAAAAAGTAACGAAAAAACAGGAATTTTACGCATAATCAGTTTTCGACAAAGTCATCTCCGTTAAGAATCGTTTTTCGTATACGATGATACCTGTCATGGCAAAAATTTTAAATATTATTACATTAACCCCGAATTTTCGGATCTATAACTACCCTGCTGATAATATTTAAACACACTTGTGAAATCATGAACATTTTATTTGTAAAGTAAAAATAAAATAAAATAAAGTTCTTGTATTGAAACTATTATATATATATAAGCGCTTAACCTTAAGTCATTTCTGAAACTATGAAAGGTTCTAAATATTTATGATTATGATATTATTTTTTAAGTAAATAATTTAAATCAAAAATAAATCAATTAATGTGAAAAAATGKTTCCATCAAGACTGTGCGCCGACCCATTCACAACAATTTTCCATAACAAAATATTTTACCAACCCTAACCCCTATGTATGTAATATTAAAGTATGGTAATTAGACGTCTCTCACTCTCGACTCCTCAAGTTATTCAACATTTATATATTTAAATTTAAAACACATTTAATCCATCAAGGCTTAGATACTGAGCATTATTTATCTCAGATTTAAATTATCACTTCATACAGTAAAATAATACTATGCAACCTTAAAAACAATGAAAATCTTCCATACGTATTATGTTGTATAAGTGTTGATTAACTTCAGTAGGTAACWATATTAACAAGGAGTTGATAACTAAACAATATCGCTATAAMGAATTTAACGTTTTATTTATTKTACCTACCTCCGAGTACCAATGATAACTTGCAAAGTAAATAATATCATTTCAATTTATTATGGTTATCGTACAATTTAACTGTACCTACATTTAACTGTTTTGTTTTGATTATTAGCAAACAGAACATGTTTTATCACGCTTAATGAACGACATTGATTTATTGTCGTTAAAAAATAGTGAACCCGTGAGAAAATGGAAACGTAGGTATTGAATTATGCAAACATATGATTTGACAACTATGAGTAAAACTGCTCCATGCCCAAAATAATTCTTATTGCCAATTTAAGACTTATAAATAATGGAACTGCTATAGTCACCATAAACACATTATACGATAACGTGTTGATTATAGGTATTTTAAATTGTATATTTCATCAAATTAAGACCTTCTGATAATATAAGGAGCTATAAATAATTATATCTACAGTTAAATCCTTGATTTATCAATTTAATGGTAAAAAATATATTTTATTCATCATTTAGTGATATTACTTTTTGCATAGAAAATTAATTATGAATCTTTAACTTTAACATTAGAGAAGTAGTTTTAAGTAGTTTTAAGTAGTTTTAAAAGACCTATTGAGGAATTTATTTTTACAAGACACAAAAATATTAGTGTTTAACTCGGCAGTCCCTCTTCTGGCAACTATAATTAATAAATTAGACAATTCTCACCCGCATATTATATATTCAACATTTAGTATAATCAACATGCAGTAATTTCAAAATATTTTAAAGTAGGTATAAGCTATAAAACTGTTGTACCTGTAAATAGTATGGCCACATAAGTGTCAATATGGTAGCAACGCTGCAATACGATAAAGTGATGATTGATAACGATATGACTATTGCCAAAGGTATGTCTCGTGTAGGTCGTTTGGCTTCTTCACCTTGAATAATTTCAAAAAACAAAATTGTATTAGTCGTCTGAAAAATGTCTAAACTATGTCTAGAGCTTATGTATATCAAATGTTTACCGGTAGTGGCTATGGCATCGAATCCAACGAATCCATAAAAGCACGTTGCAGCTCCCACGAACACTCCGGACCATCCAAATGGCAAAAATCCACCTTCTCCGCCTTCAATATTCAGTGGTATCTTCTCTTTTGGTAAACTCCAATTGGAAATATCGACTGCAATGATTTACATAATTTATATGATATTATAACAATGGGTTCGATATGAATCTAAACCAATGTGTATAGTACATTTATTTCAATTCATTTAAGATACATTGCATTTAAACATTTAGTATATATTAATAAATATTTTGTTAAATTCTTTAAAAATTATATTATCCACTCGTAGATATTGAACAAATATATCTGTTGTAAATATTATGTAACTATATTATTTTCCTAGGATCTTATAGGTTCCTGAAAAAAAAAAACATGTTCACGTACTTTTATATAGACCAGTCATGACTACTGTGATAACTGTAAGCAGGTTGACAACAGTAAATATCTTGTTAAGTAAGGACGATTCTTTCATTCCCCATGCAATCAACACTTAAACAAAAATAATTAATCACTTCAGTAGTAGGTATATTAATATTACATAATTAATATAATATTACCTATAAAATATAATAGGTACTATTACAGACTTATAGTGATAATACTATGTAACAAACCTTTAAGGCAGATACACGAATTAATAAAACATATAGATTTAATAGAAGTATTTCAATGTTCAATTTAAAGTTATTCATACGATATATGTAATATAGTTGATATATTTTTCATTTGATATCATCATATTTACTATGAAAAATAAAACAGATTATGGGGTTGAGATACGATTAAATACCAATATTGTAATACTTTGGAAAACAGGATCAAAAACAGAATGAAAAACCCGTAAACAAATATTAGGGAAATATAGATGATAAAAGTGTCAGAAGAGTATACTGTCAAACCGATCCGTTAACAATCTCAAGAATTAAATACAATCTATATTATATTTTTAATATTGAAAACAAGTATAAAATATATCACATCATTCGATCGCTTTGCAATTATTTTTTTAATTTAAAAATAATAACATAAATATAATCTAACTTATTATACATCAATAAGTAATAACTGAAATTCTAAAAATTCGAATCCATTCAGCTATAATTTTTATTTTCAATACATACAATTCTAATTAAATAGATCAACAAAATTGGTTTTTGCAATTGCGATAATAATGTTGTCGTAGCAAGAAAAATCAAGCTGTCTGATCCATGTTTTGACAATATATGTATAGTATTGAACACATTTGATAAAATAATAAACTCAATAAAGAAAAAAAATATCATTATAACAAAATATAGCTCAATCTTATTACTTATATAAAATATATTTAACTGAGAATTTAATTATAAATATTTGAAAACCATCCAACCTTAATAATTGCTTTTAGATGTCGTTCGTTTTTAATAGACTGTTAGCAATAGCTTTAAAATCAACTATTACGTGTAAAAAATTACAGGAAGATAAACCCAAAGGTAAATACATAGATAATTCCTAATGAATATTTTCACTTACCGATTTCTATATCTACTATATCATCAAAATTCGAAATATTAATGATTTCATTGCAACTTCATACATTGTTTTTTTAATTTTAATACTTACATGTTAACAATAGTATAGATGTGAATGAAAAAAGATCTGGGTATGGTGCCAAGAACTCCACGTTCATTGGAAATGTTTTTATGAAGAATGATCTCATTGGATAACCAAGTGGTTTATCAATATGCCCACTTAAAGCTCTTGCAATGCTGGCACATCCTAAAATATTTATAATTTAATATTATGTTTAAATACAAATTATAACGCCCATAAGGTTCAATTTTTTTTTTTATAATTTCCATAAAAAATTAATAATGATGAACTAAATTTTAATTAATCAATAGATTTCGTTAACATATAATACTAATTTTACTTTAATAATTTCTATTTGATGGTAGGTAACTATATAGATAAATAATAATATTTTATTAATTACATCATCGTTATCAAAACAAGAAAATTGATTTATAAAAAATATGATATCATCAAATGCACGATAAACTAATTTTCACATTTTTTATACTTACCGATACTGTATTCTAATATTAAATCCCAACCAATGAGAAATGCCACTATTTCACCAATACCCACATAACTGAACGCATATGCTGACCCGGCTTTTGGTACACGACTAGCAAAYTCGGCATAGCATAATCCTGAATAAAATAAAGTTTTTTCTAATTATTTTATTTTCTTTATAAATATTATTCTTAAAAAGCTTATAATCTATTTAAAAAAATTAAAAATTAAATATTTACTGTAATTTTACAGCACATTTAATTATAATATCATCAATAATTATATTTTTAACCTATTAACACCTAATAATACAGACTAATTATAAATACTTCACAATTTTAATTTTAGAATGCTAGCTAAATTATGTCTTCAGTAAAAAACATAGGAACCGAGTAAATTTTTTCAAATATTTCTGTCATAATATACCTCCCAATCACAATGTTTACTAGGTGTTGTCTACACCAACTATTTCTCCATACGTGGGTACCTACGACTGTATTTATAATTAAATAATAATAATCTTATAACTTAATAATTAAATTTATACAATTATTATTGGCCATTTTATTATTTTTTTTTTTTAACGTTACAGGTTAACAGTTATTTTCATATCAATAATAACAAAGCAGAAAAATACAAACAAATTGGATTGATAAATGTAAAAATGTTATTCAATTGAGAAGCCAATGTTGTGGAAAAATTTAATTATACGGATAATAATTATAGGAGACTGATGATAAACAGAAATMTTACATTGGTAGCCAATATAATAGAGAAAAAAAGAAAAAAAAATTTWAAGGGAAAATTGAAATTGAAAAAGTGAAAAAAATATGAATCTTTTAGGTGAGCGGGAAAGGCAATCAAAAACTAGACGCTAAATATCAGAAACTGTAATAATTGGCAATTAATGTACAAGTGGAAAAATTAATTAATTAAATATCAAAAAATTGTAGTGTAAATAACATGCATCCATTTTATGATTAGATCGAGGTCTTACGCTGGCCATGCCCCCCTTAAGTATTTGAAATCCCATTAGGCCGAACCATCTTAAAATAACATTCATATGTCTTTTTTGCCCCTCAGGTAAAAATAATAATATACAATTAAATTGATCACATTTTCAACYGGAGACTTATTGTATAATTAGGTGCAATTCATAACATCGTTTAGAGATTCGAATGATATACAATATTAAATTGTACTTAATGTTGTTTTGGAGTTRATATTTTATTTCATTCCTGCTTGTAGGGTTGTCAATTATATCGATTTATWGTCATAATGGATATTTAATACTAGCTGATCTATTTCCTGTGACAAAGTAAATTCCCATGCAAGATATACCCTTTCTTAAATTCCGCTAAATGTAAACTGCAAAGATTTTAACACAGTAATTTGAGTGAATTAAATTTAAAATGCAGGTCTAACATTTTTTCCAATTATAATAAATATTTTATTTTTTGTAACCCGTAATAATCTTATAAACATACAAAATAATATTTGCTTTATTAGGATCCTTTAAAGATCCCTACGTGAGCCTCTCTTTGAGACTAAAAATTTAAAAATTGGCTTCGAGGTGCATATCCTCGAGTATAGAGTAAACTAAGAACCAAATTTAAAAAAACATGAATGTAATAGATTTAGATGTGGATCGCAAACGCGTAAGCCAACATTGCCATTTATTAAATATAGGTACCTACGTAGATATAAAAATATATTAGGTTTTGCTCATAAAACCATAAACCAGCTATAACTATTATATAACTATTTAGATAGCGATTAATATACAAATATATATATATTTTAATAATAATTTTAACTAAATATTGTATTCGAAAACTAATTACACTCGTCTATAATTACCTGACAGTGCCGATGCTACAGCTGCAAAAGCAAATGACAAAACGACTGCAGGCCCGGTAAACTTTACCGCCACTTCTCCAGCTAGTACATAAGCGCCAAGTCCAAGAGTTGAACCAACGCCAAGTGAAATCAAATCTTGTAGTCCTAATACACGGCTAAGTTGATTTTTCATTGGCTCAGTGCTCAAATCGGATTCCTTTTTCCTTCTTAATATCGTCTTCATAAATGATTGATCATTCTAAAGCCAAAATTATTATTWATATTATTATATTAACATAATAATATGTATATACTATATTGAGTATTACTAAGTTAAATAAGGTATGTTGATGTTATGATAAATGAAATCGGAGTCGTTTATGATGCATTTACAGTTATTTTTAGGACATGTTCAACACTATACACGTATACATATTAATATATTACAAATAAAACAAAATAGGTATATTGTATCAAAAGTTATTAGATTGTAGATTAAACAATCATTAAATATTTTGTATTTGTTCAACTTATAAGCYCTTTTAGATTGATAATAATAATGCTTTAATTTTGTCACTTAGAAAAACGGACATAATTATTTTCGCACATTATACTATATTCAAGACGTGTACTTGTAGAACCGTGCGATTAGGTACTATGTAATATTATTATACCTACTGTATACTTTCATATGAACATTAAAAACGCATTGTTAAATAAATATAATAGTTCTATATTCTCGAGAAGTTGAGGATACCAACAAGTTTTGAATTCCTATTAATGTAAAAAAGCTATTGGTTTTGAATTTATATTATTTTCCTAGGCCTCAAGTAGTTGACACGTATAATCGATGAATTAAAAACTACACACACAATAACTTTATATAATAAAAAGCGCTATAGTGCAGTCAATATTTTCAATAAAATTATTACAAAAACAAACTATAACGCAATACGTTTATATGAGTATAAAAAAAATAATAACAAAGATTTTATGATTATTTCACAGAATTATATATATTATCCATTCAAGTAGGTATTTATTCCATTTTAAATTATTCACTCCGTTACATAAATTGCAATTAGAAAATCAAGTAACTAAATACTAATAAAATTATTTTGAAAATATACTGGATTTGTTTAATATAGGATAAAATATTCTTTATGCGTATTGTATAGATAGATATTACTATCTAAAATTCAAAAGTATCTTAATTTTTAAATTGGTTATTTATAGATTATAAGTGTTGTAACTAATAAACTGTTTCCAAAGTAATTATTTTATCTGTTTACTTGTCAAAATGTATGATAAATATTTCAACAGTTCATCACTTGCAAATTTAACTATATCTATAGATTGTAAAGTGGCCTACTCTTTTAGTTATGGTTTCAGTTCAGCGTTTAACTTGTTTGATCAGCAGTTCAAACTTTAAAATTTCATAAAGTTAGCTTAAACTTAAAACTAATAACATATTTAACAACTAGAATAATTTTCAATAGATTTGAATCAGTAAAATTAAATAAAAAACTTATTTAAATTAATACAAATTTAGTTGAAACCAAACAATACTAAATACAATAAATAATAATTTATAACAATAATTATTATATTAGGTATTCATTCAAATACAAATTAATTTGTACATTTTTAGTTTTAAAAATACAAACTACACACTACTAGTCCACATAGACAACAAATCAAACATCACATTAATATGTAACACTGCAACGGGAGTGTTGAGAATGCAATGTTTTAATTATTTGACTTACAAGCAATTAAATGAACATCGTTTAAAGCATATACACTTATTATACAACTCGTATCACATAATTAAATTATTTTTCATGCATCAATGGTTAAAAAAAATAATAATTTGAAAACTCCTATTAAAAATACTMTACATTTTAAAATTATAATATTATAAAGTGATTAAGTGAAAAAGGTTAAAATGTTGAATAAATATTAATTTTTTTAACTTCGCATGGAAAAAAATTAAAACTATTGTTTCGACTTGAGTTCGACTATATCTTGCCATTTTAAATATAATTTCCATTATAAATTATATTTTAAGTTGTAAGATAATGATTCAAATTCCTAGAATATTTACATAAGCATTTATTTTTTATTTAAATAAAAAGTCTATTCAAACACATATTGTCATACATTGTATAATCAAATGTGATCAACACAATCGTTCAAATTATCAGGAGTGGACGCAGAGATGATARTATGTTCTTTTTCAGATGTTCGTACCTATTTCCTATTAGTCTATTATAGGTRAAATATACAGGCAACATAAAAAAAAACCATTGTTTTGGGTTGAATTATTTTTGCAGACAATTTTTTTYTTCATAATTGCTTTTTTTTTAAATTTAATCCGCATAACTGTTCGATTAATTCARTGTTGATCGATCCACTTCTGGGAATAATGTTTAAGCTTTACAGCTTTTAAGGGTGGAAAAATACTTAGTATACTAGAAAATATTATTTCTGTAAGACAATGCCTAATTGTGGCAATTGTTATAGTCTTCAACTATCTCTAAAAACGTATCAAACAGCTGACTGATATTTTTTAATTGATTATTTTTAATTTGTATAGAAGTTTCTAGTACCTATATATCAATGGATAATATATATAATTTGTTGTTATTAACTAAGATTCAAATTAGTTAGCGCATGTGCAATTTACTTGCATGCATTTTGATCATCTTTATCGTATGTAAAATTATATTTTTAAATATTTTACGATCATTTTAATAACTATTCAAAACGAATTATTGTTTTAAAATAAGTTATGAAAAACTGAAAGACTTGATAAATATTCTCAGCATTAAACATCTAAAATATAGTTTCAAATGTTGTATACTTAATTACTAATAAATTACTTAAATGCTACCTAAAGAAAAAGACAACAAGTAGTTTCTAAAAATTTAAATGACAATATCTATAATTCAATACGAAAGAGCAATTTAATATTGCATTATTACTGAAATATATAAATTATTACAACTAAAACTGTATTTTATGTGTATCCAATAAAAGTAATTGTAAATATTTTAATGGCCTGATTTCAAAATGGTTAACAAAATCTAATACAGTCTTTGGACACAGTAATCAGTCTGAAAATCAAGTTACAAAAATTTTAATTTATTGAGTTCGGCTGAAATTCAACGACCTTGTGGGAAATTAAACAAAGCCACTATAAGAAATTAGTATAGTTAAATTTTAATTTTAGTGTATTGTGTATTGAATCCTTTATATACATATTTATGAATGATAAAAATATATTAGATTGTATATATTTTTATAAATTTTAATATTGATTTTTAAAAGTGTATTGGCACTCCAATTGACAGAGCTACAATTGGAAATACAAGGTCGATAAATAATCTTTAGTTAGTGTTTAAATAATAAAGTATGTGACAATATAATATTATATAAGTATGT